TTTCCACTTCGCCCCATTTCCACTTCGCCCCATTTCCACTTCGCCCCATTTCCACTTCGCCCCATTTCCACTTCGCCCCATTTCCACTTCGCCCCATTTCTACTTCGCCCATTGATTATCGTTCATTCTGTTCTTCAGTAACAGAGGCATAGGCCTAGATGCAACAAGTAAGAACATCAACGTTTGAGTACCCAAATAACAATCGGTTAATCAAACTTTCAAAGGCCAAAACAGTGCTTCCGATTTGACCGCTGGACCCAAATTTTTCAGCAAGACCCTAAAATTGTTATTGGCAAGTCAGAAAAGTTTTCTTCATGTTTCGTTGTCGCTGTGGTAAAAACTTGAGCACAAAGCGCTGGTTCCCGCCATGCGGCACCCATTAATTAATGCTGTAGAGTTTTCTTTAATAGGCCTAACTACATGTCGTTTGTGGAACTCCTCTCACAACCATTTTTTTAAGAGGCTTAAAATTAAATTAATGTCACCTGCGTTGTCCATTATGGTGAAAATGCATATGGTTGGACTAGCATCAGGGTTATTTCTCATCCTTTTCAAGTTTATTTCAAAGCGACACACACAATTCTGTTCACATCATTTGGGTAATTGTCAATGCATCCAGACAGCTGTACCCCGGTAATCAGATAAAGCTCGGTGCGCAGGAAATTTTGTGGAAACATGCTCGCTTCAAGTACCAGCAAAACAACCTAAAAGTAAACTGATGAAGGCAGAAAATACACACATAGACAAAGTACTAATAATTAACGTGAAGAAATCTTGCAACATCAAATTTTTTTTTTGATGCGTGACGTATCACGTACAGGAATGGTCGCCGCGGCATACATCACATAGATAGACTGGTCGCCACACTCCATTATGCATTCTCTTACACGGGTGCGGCGCGGCGGGAACCAGCGCTTTGCACTTGTGTTTTTACTACAGCGACAACGAAACACAAAAAATTTGGGTCCGGCGGTTGGGAAATCAGAATCATGATTTGGGCCTTTAAAAAAATGGATTATCTGATCATTATTTGGGTACTCAAACGTTGATGTTTTTACTTGTTGCATCTAGGCCTATGTTACTGAAGAACTGAATGAACGATAATCAATGGGGCGAAGCAGTAATGGGGCAAAGTGGAAATGGGGCGAATGGAAATGGGGCGAAGTGACCGACACCCTGCCACATGCACACTACTAGTCACAACCAAACGTGAGCACAATTCTTTAGAATTCCATCCCAAACATAGAATTCATAACCATGACATGAAGTACTAACAGCAACTGGCAAACAATTACAAAAGATATCGTACATTTAAAGGAAAAATATCACTTACAAAGATTCTAAAGAACAAAAAACAAGGCTCGTCCCCAGTCCTCTGGCCGACTCCACATGTAGCCCTGCATGCAAGTACATGAACATGCATGAATAATGTGTTTTAGTCGACTGAATAAAATAACACTGAACGCAAACGTAACACAGTCAGTGTCGGCCAATGATGTCCATTATACACAACGACCCATCAATGACCGCGAGACTGGGTACCAGACATGCGATGCTCCTGTCAAAAAATTTCACAGAGCGCCCTCTACCACAGAAAAGCGCTGTCGTCTGCAACTTCCGTCTTGTTCGAAATTGTTCATTTATAATTACATGTACACTGTATAATATTGACGAAACACAGAAGGCGGTCATATCTATGCACACCATTTTACATTTTCCAAAAATAAACCAAACTTTCTCCTACGATGGCCAGACTTTTGCGAGCGACAATGGTGAAAAACCTTAAATGGTTAATTGGTTATAGGTGTCAGCAAAATAAGCAAGTTTTCTTGATCAAATTTAAATGAATATTGTGTTGATTCAATACAAGTTCTCCATTTTATTTCCGACAACAATGAACAGTAATTAAAGATGAACGCATTAAAATAAATAAGGGGTATTGATTCCACAAAAAAAATCAACATTTACTGAGGAACAACATCTTAAAAGAGCAAATGGCATTATTGATTACACGACAGTTTTGAAATTTACCAATGTGTACCATAACATACACAAAGATGCAACAATTATGCATAAAATAAATGGCAACCTTCTTACAGGCATTAACAATTTTGTTAAAAAGTTGTGCTGTGAAGCAAAATCAAATTAATGTTTAACTGTTTGCCATTTAACTGCCAAATAAAAAATAAAATTTAAAAAAACTCAAGCTCTCAATTGAAAGTGTCTTTAAAGATTCACAAATAAGAAACACCGATAAAAAAAAGAGCACAAATGGGCACATAATTTAGCTGTACATCTATTTAAAAAAATAAGAAAAAATTATGGTTCATTTGAGTCAGCTGATAATTTTCACCCTCATTCATGATCCTTGTCATTCTTTTTTTCCCCCACAGACCTGCCAGATAAACCCTGCAATGTTCACAACCTGGCATTTCCTGTTTTTGAAGAATGAATTTTTACAACAGGCTGTTCATGTCAGATGATTTACAATACTTCATTAGAATTCAAGAAAACGGATATTGAATGGGTTGCAAACAATGGTACAAACAAATGTTGGGAATTTACATATTGGTGTCAAATTTTAAAAACTAATAACCTATCAAGAAAAAAAAAGAAAACTTGTAAAAAGAAAATGGTCTGTACAATAAATGAAACATCTTATAATTTAAACATCTCATCAGAAAAAGATGTGAAGTTATGTGTGTTTTTCCTTATACTTTCTTGTTAGAAGCATCAGTATCTGTACTTGTCAGAAAGTTCATGATATAGATTGTTAAAAGGACGGTGGAAAATAGGCGCAGTGACATATTTCTTACATACTGTAGCAAGAAACTGTACAAAAATCATAAGAAACAATATCCTTAATAATTTACAAAAACTCAGAATCCCTGTCCAAATACATTATGTTTTAAATAAAGTTTTTCCCCAAAGGTGGTATTTTTAGATAGCAGTTATTGGTTGATGTTCTCCCAATTTTTGTACAAAGAACTACATGCACTTAAAAGCAATGGTCTAGCCACAATGGTAATTCCCTTGTTCTTGGTATCACCAACTTGTTTTCACCAGTTAACTCAGGGAAAAGTATTCATTTTATTCCACTTCAACACTTACTAAATACAAAGCAACACAAAATCAGCTGTGAACATTGTAAGCACAGTGGCTTTGTTCATGAATATTACTTTTGATACTTGTGGGGTAGGAAGATATGGAAATGTGTGCTACTGGCAGATCACACTGCACAATGATTACCTTTTCCTCCATCTTAAAATAACCCACTTGGTGCAGGAACATACTCCCCGTTATTCTACTTCCTGTTTGTACACTTTGCAGTACATTCAAGTAACATACTTGAACACAACCACAGTGGCTGGAACACAGCAACAATCTAAGTGAATTCTAAGAACTAAAAACAACAAAATGCCTCACTATTTTCCAACAAACATCCCTGTAATATCTGAGAAATATATGTATCACAAAGGGTAATTACAGGGACAGACTACATGCATGACATGTTTGGCTTCTGAATCCCATTTCTTATGCAGAGGCCAATTTTAGCTTTTGTTGGGTGCATGAAATGCCAACTAGAAGATCTTGTTTAAGTAAGAAAATCTGGCAAACTGGCACTGAGTGCTGTGCTGCCTCACAGTTCACCCTTCCTTTTAACACATCTAAAGAAAAAATATCTCCTGCTAAATTTGTCTGTTTCTTGCAGGTGCTGAGGACAAATATGGACAAAATGCTCATATATTCTTGGTAGTCAAGTAACATAATCAGCCTCATGCTCTAAGATGAATTGCTCTGTTTTTTCCTCTCCATAAATACTACTGAATTCTTTTAATATTGAGACTTTGAGCTGAATCTGATATTTCCTGATACAACTACGCCAAAGTTTCTTTGACAGGTACCTTGATCCGATCTGAAAAACAAAATTACATTCAACAAAACTCGGTATTTAATAAAAGTCTTTCCTTTAAAACCAAAACAACCAAACTCAGTATTTAATAAAAGTCTCTCCTTTAAAACCAAAACATCAGTATCATTTTGTTAAAATATTAATGGAAGAAAAAAACATCAAAGATGACTCAATAAAGATTTGTTTTGTGTATGTGTTTCATTCTAAATAAACTAGTACCCTTAATTCTGTGTGGAGTGTTTCCTTTAAAATATCATTCTCCACTTGGTTTTTTTTCTTTGTAATTATATATATATATATATATCCGTGGTATTTTACACAACAGTTTACAAAATTTTTACATTACATTTATGTACATCCAAAACGTGGCAATTTAGGAGTGTTTACCTACAAATTCAAAACAGCCTTTAAAAGTATGGGACATGAGTACAAGGCTGAATTAATTCATGGACATACAATTATCAACACAGCAATACAAAGATACTTCAGTTTCTCATATCTCTGGTCACGACACCTTCATTTCTGGTTTTTCTAAACAGCAAATAGCCACAGAGTACTGTCCAAACTATGGTCTGGCAACATTTCTTTTGAGAGTTCTTCAACATCAACAAGTTATTTCACCTAACCAACCTTAAGAATCTTGCTGAAAGCTGCGAAACTTGATTCATAATGTATGTGAAACAAATTAAACAAATTATTGCCAATTCATGCAATTTTTTGAAATACTGTAAAGAAAATCCCTGCACCATGCAAGAAAAATAAATCAAATAAACAAGTTGCATTTGTCCTTGAATGGGTTTAACTAACAACTTAGCAACACCTTTGCTAGTGATTTTTTTTTCTATATGAATAGAATCATTAGTCATCACCTCATAATTGTACCATTAACCCAGGACCACTGAAATTTCGACAAACTGGAGCGTATTATTCACCAATTATTTGTGGCTTTTGGGGGTCACACCTGACAACGGCATTCTCGGTTGTTGGTTCAAAAGACATCATTGCACGGCAATGTCCTCCTCAGGGCAACAAAGACTGAGCTGGAATCCTGTCTTACACCAGTGAGACTGGACGATTCCTTGTGAGGCCACATGTTCCTTACTTCCGCCCCTCAGGCTGTGCCAACAGTAGACCTTGGTAACTGCAGTTGGCATGACCTCTGACCCTGACATGTCTCAGCCAGATCAAACGATCCACACTGTATGTCAGTATGGTTTAAAAGAGTGTAATAACCCGTAGTATAGTGATGCCAGCTCCAATATTCCTGAGACGCATCAGATATATTCATAAGCTGCACAGTTTCCTCATACAACGACCTTGGGTCAGGGGTCAAATAGGGTTCAAGCAGTATGGTAATTGAGTTCAAGGGTCACTTTTTCTCTCTCTCAAGTTATTGACACTGTAAAGTTAGTAGGCTAGAGTTTCAAGTTTGTTCTGCCTCCTGCTATGTGGCCACAGTTTTTCCATATGTACCCTCGGGTGGGCGGTACAGCTTGGGGAACGCCCTCAACTGCATCTTGTTGAAGGCATACTTGGGGGAACCCACATTCTTCCGTGTGTTGTCACGACGGGTGCCCTCACTAAAAATGAACAGAAATCATACAATATGAGTATTTGGGAGTCACAGATGAAATTTCTGCAGTGAGACATGCGATTTAGTTCTGTATTTTCTCAAGTGCTGAATTACCTAACTTTCAGGAGTAAATTGCTAGAATTTCCATGGACTGCAATTTTAACCACTTCCTGCTGGGTGGAATTTGCATGTGCATGATGAGTTCTAGAGGGATTTTCAAGGTTTTCCGTTTTCAAACTTCTTCAGAAATTCATAACTTCATTTACTAGAAGTTACACCCACACGAATGACTGTCTGGTGGCTACTTTAATCTGACAGGCAACCTCCACAGATGCATGAGTATTTCAGCCAGGCCTGCCGCCCAGTAAAGAGAGCCCACATTGTGCGGTGTTGCGTAATTTCCTTTGTTCCCAAAATTGGCCCATTGCATCGCTGAATGCCAGTGGTGTCTTTTCAAATGTGGCCAGATTAGCATGCAGTGGTACTGTATCACTCATCACTGGAGCACTGGAACGCTTTTATCCCCGTTGATAATCCGCTGGCACTGAATGCCACAAACAGTGGTATACTGTTTCAAAACAATGATGGATTACCTCCGCTAATGCCAACTGAAAAATGTTGGCAATTCCCAGCAGCTTGGTCTTTTGTTCCCGAGTACGGTCTTTTGTCACAAGGCCCAGCTCTTTTATCCGATTTCGGTTACCCCGGCTACGCATACAAACCCAAGGTGCCCGGATCCAGAAACCCTGGAGGCAAGTGGTTACATGCTTGCATGATGAAACCTATAAATATTATGTTTGGAAATATCATAATTGATATGAGTCACTTATGAAAATATCGTAACTGACTCTTGGTGATTAATTCCTACAAGTGACAGTGGTAGAGATGGCGGTTTGGAGATGTCTCACCTTCTCATGGTGTCTAAGAGGTGAGTAAACATCTGGGAGTGGAGTTGATGTTCGTCTTGTAGAATCATGCATTCTTCCAGAGTGACAGACATTGCAGTGCGGTCCTTGGCACTCTTGCAGGATGTGAAGCGGATGCCATCCAAACGACGTGCCAACTGTAAAACCAGGGCATGAAATAGAAAGAAGAATTTCTGAAAGACCAATCCTGCAACTGATGACGTTCCAAAATCAAATCAAGACAGTGCTGTATTGATTTAACCAAGTAAATATGCATATTTAAAGATTTATTGAACAGATGCGAACTTTATTTTGCCAGACCTGTGAGCTGATATGCAGGATTTCGACATTTTTATTCTTTTTAGTGCTGATGTGATGTCTAAGACTGCTCATTAGAACATCCAAAGAGACGGAACTACGGGTCTCCCTCCAATCTGTGAACAAAAAGTGAGTAAAGTTTATGTTCCTCATTCAATAGTACTCTTCGTTAGTAATTCCTCTATCTTCAAAAACTGCAGTGTTAGCAGAAATTACAATCTTGAATCTTATTGTTTAACTGCAAAGTACAGTACAGTGCAATTGAAAGTTAACCTGATAAGTGGGAAAATTGTTCACACTTTTCCCATCTGAGAAAATGAATATTCATTCCACAAACTGTGAAAAATTTCCCCTCAGTCGCAAATTTTTTTACATTTTCTTTTTCACAAGTGGGAAAAATTTTCACAGCTTTTTTTTCACACATAGGAAAAATTTTCACACCTGTTTTTCACAAGTGGAAAACTTTTCACAAGTGGGGAAAAAATGCACACATTTTTCACAATTGGGAAAAATTTAACACCTTTTACCCAATTGAGAAGGAAATCAACCCCAGCCCCAACAAAATCAATTTTAAAGTATGAAGTCACACGAGTACATGTAGCCAATAGTTGCACACTGTTCTGCTCACAGATTTTTCGCACAGTGTTTGCTAATTTTTTGCAACGCGCTATTTTCGCACATGTTGCACTAGTTTTGAAGTTTTTTTGCAAGTTCATGGACATTTTTTGTACCGTTTTCACACATTTTCACCCCAGATTCACTGCGAATTTGCAGAGGGGAAAAGTAGCAGTCAAAATGCAAAATTCGCCTGCAAATGCAAATGCTTTTCCCTTTTTTTTCTCAGTTGTTTTCCCAGGGTTAACTTTCAATTCCACTATACTGTAAAGGAAGAGGGGAATCTACTTGTGATACACAACAAATACATGTACATCCAGACCTGTTCGGTAACCTGAAACACAGTTTGACATTGCTAAGATTATAATACACTGATTACATGACCGAAATGAACACATCTATTCCAAATACATCATGTACAATATAAGCCAGAGACTAATCTAACTAGTGACTACCCAACCAAGCACTAATTGTAATTCTATGAAATATTCTCATAGCTGTGTTCTACTGTAATGAGAGTGCTACAAAGGCTACAGACCTTTCTGGGGTATCATGTGCACAAGACGGCTGTAGTAGTTGTCCAGCTTTTGCAAGCTGTCTTGGTTGATGGTGTCTTGGAGTGAGGTATCGCCAAATCTGAATGGGTGTCATTGATAGTCAGTGAATTACTGTAAAAATCTACAGCAAATGAAGAACAAGTTACCTAGGTTCCCTCAGATTAGAATTGAATTCACAGTCATGCAACTAAGAAATTGGGAAAATACCAGGAACTTCTAAGCTGCACCAGATTTTGCACTGTGTTTTCTTTTTCAACTTGTAATAGAATACATAGGAATTGAAAAAAAAAAAGGAAATCAGATGAACAACGGAAACAAAAGAGACCAAAAGCTCAGCTGAAATGTTTTGCCCTGTGATTGTTACTGGGCTCCTTAGTGAGAGATTTCCTCCATTTTAAAAGCCGAGCACTAGTTTGATCTGATCCTGAGGAACACTTTTCAATAGATGTCATTGATCTAGGTATTTGAGGTTTTGCAGACCTCAAGTAAAATGGAAAGCTAACGAGGATTGCATTTTGGCAGAAAGACAGAAACTACACATGTGCTCACATTTCAGCCATTGTCTGTTCCTCATTGACACCAATGTTGAAGAGTGCCGGGTAAACCTTGATGGGCTGTCCGCTCAGAAGCTCCTCTGGTATGGCATCTGTCATGGAGGGCAGTACTGGAATAATGACCACCACACTGGACCTGAGGGCAGGGAGACAGGAAACTATCAAGACCTCCTGGGTCTGCTTCCATGAGACTGTGTCTGAATGTGCTTGGCTACAGCCAGAAAAAACACACAAGCCAAGAAGAATTGATGAAGCCACTTAATGGCCGCTCCCATTGATTCACGTGTTGTTCCAATCACGGTTATGTAATTCAGAGACAGTCTGGCTCAAGCTGAAGTATTAGAATCTGAGTCCAAATCAAGTGACTGTCACCTGATGTAACACACACAAGTTGATGGCAAGTGCTGGACCTGCTAGCCAGTACTTTGCATAGGTAACAGGCACGGCCATGACATACAGTTATGCAACCCAATTTTCCATTGACAAAACCATTACTGTACCCACAGGACTGATAATGGTAAGCAGAGTCTGAAACACACTGGCCTGAATAACAAATTTGCTTAAAATACTAGCACCACTCTTAAAACCTCTATGCAAGTGAGACTTCATCACTACATCTCAGGTTTAAAGCCATCACTCTGCACCAAGTGACATGGTCTCTTGGCCCAAATATGGGGGTAAATACTGGAATATATTAGAATGATTAGTTAGGGAGTGGGTACGCAATTTGGTACTCACCGTGTACCAGTGAGTACTGGCATGGTGTCTGCATCTGTGGTACTGGTCTTGACAATCTTAAATGTGACCCCACCTAGGTCATGGATACCAACTGCAAAGTCTTCCAACATGCCCATCTCATCACCTGTTTAACAGAATACATGGATAAGCAATGAACCTAAAATAACGACACATAACTACCATCACAGAAATTATATATTTTTTTTACTTTGGGCTTTTCAAAGGTGTTAACTGACAAGATCTATCCACACTACTGTGACATAATGCCTCACAAGACCACAATTAAAAAACCCCCCACCCCAAAACACACTCAAATGTTACACTCATAACACTTCAACTCCTCCAACTCTACCATGCATATTGACAAAACTCTTGGACCATAAGGATTCCTAAAGCTCTCTACCTTCAACTTTTCATAAAAGCTTACAGGACCTTCAAACCTCACAGTATCACACTTCTCCTCCTGCAACATGTATGAGATCCTCAACCTCACACTGAGCCTCAAAACCCAAGACCCTCACTGTCCCTTCTCAACAGGCTTACCGTGTGTACTGATCAGACCCTCAAAGTGTGCCAATATGCCCAGAGAGCTCATCTGGCTCATGAAGACCTTGTTGAAGATATTCTCCCTGAATTTGATCATCATACCAGTTACAAGAGCCGTCAACTGCCAGGAAAATGAACAGTACACAAACGCTCAAATTTTCAGACAGTTGCCTCGTGTGCAAATTTACTGACCTCCAACACAGTTCCCGAAACATAAACAATTTAGCAACCATAATATAACTTCTTTTGACTGGCTGTCAGTATTGGTTTTGCAATTAGGAACCAACTTTTCCGGGCAAGAAGTCTTCTTCCTTAACCACTTGCTGCCGGGTTTAATTTGAAGTTGCATGACGTAAAACCAGAGGATTTTCAAGATTTTCCATTTTCAAAATTCTTCAAAAAATCATAAGTACATTTACTGGACGTTTACACCCACACAAATGACTGGTGGCTACTTTAATCTAACAGACAACATCTATTGATGCCCGAGTATTTCAGCCAGGCCTGTCGCCTTATAAAAAGAGCCAAGATTGTGCGGTGTTACATTAGTTTCTTTCGTTCCCGAAACTGGCACAGAGCGCAGCTGGCGTCTTTTCAACAGCGGCCAGATTAGCATGCAGCTCATCACTGGAGTGTTGGAGCGCTTTTGTCCCCGGTGGTAATCTGCTCGTGCTGAATGCCACAAACAGTGGTATAATCTTTCAAAATAAGGACGGATTTCCTCTGCTATTGACAACCAAAAAAATTGTTAGCAATTCCCAGCAGCTCGTTCTTTTGTTATACGGCCTAGCTCTTTTGTCCAGCATAGGGCTCCGTAGCTTCATGTATAAAGCCTATGTGCCCGAAACTAGGCACCCCAGCAGGAAATGGTTAACCATAAAAGAGCCGCGGGAAATCCTCACAGTTTTTCTGAAATATCCACATTGCAATTTTTGAGGAGCTGAGCTTTTAGGAACTTTTACAGTAACTCTTTGCGGTCATTTTGACACTAATTTTGTGAAATTCAAAACTACTGTTCTAGCGTAGCCTCCATTTTTAAAAGACAGGTCAGCCAACATTGAATGCTTTTTCCACTGTGGTGTTCAATGCACGTGGGCTGGCACATGTGAAGCCATGAACTTCAACTGACCGCAACAACAAAACGATATACGTATCTGACTGATTTCAACTTCACATTTGTAATAAAAAGTGTCTTCACATGCATAAAAAAAAAAAACTAGCGAGGTCAACCAAGTTCAGAGGGAGGGGGGAGAATCTGTCCCCACCAGGCTGTGAGATGGGTTGAATAGTCTCTCACAAATAAAATGATTGAAAGTCTCTCTTCAAATTCAAAGAAACTTGCATAATGAACTCCCGACTTTGAGGAATACGTCTTATAACCACCATAATATATTAAAACCACACTGTTCACATTTGTTGACTTACAGCTTGTGAGAAGACAATATCTCTCCTGCACTGCAGGGACTGCAGGAAACTTAAGTTACTGTGCTCCTCCTGGGAAACAAACAGCAAAGATGATTAACCAATTGACTGCAAGGAAGAAGGCTGTATTTATAGCATGTGACTACAGCATTTCCCCTCAGTACAATTATGTGAAGGGGTGTTGAGGTATTGAAATCACATTTATGAACAGTTCAGAGGTTTCTGATAAATGATTTTAGCAGGTGGAATCAAGAGCAGTGGCTGTAAAAGTGAAAAAGATGACAGTACAAAAAACAAACAAACAGGATCTACAGTGTATCGGGAAGAATTAAATCACTTCCCTTAATAGCAGAATTGGGGACGTACACTTCATTACATTTGGGAGCCAAGGAATATGTTTTATATACTGGTACAGTGTATCTTGTTCACTGTGTCGCCTTCACTGCCAGCCCTCCTTTCAACCTCCAGCCCACACAAACCTGACTTGCCCCTCTATACCCCAACTGCCTCTTTCCTTACCTGTCCAGCTGTGCTACACAACATGTCCCTTAATTCTGTTCCCTGCCCCCTCCTCTGCTCCATCCCCTTGATCCAAATTATTTGACTCCTTTTTTCCTCTCACCTGCATCCTGAGGAAGGCTATGCTGTACTTGGCCTGCTCCTGTACCTGGCTAATGCATTCCTTGAGGTGCTTGATACTGGATTCCACGGCCCCAACCCGCTCCTTTGGGGATGCCGTGTGAGGCAAAATTTCAACTACTTGGCGGATGACATTCATGTACTCTGATAAGTTCTTGATCATCATGCTCGTCTGTGAAATACAGTGTTACATTGTTTTCAATTTCTTTGCAATTCCAAATATAACTCATTCTGAAGCACTCTTGTTAATATCAAATAAATAACAACGGTCAAGATGCATTTCAGGGTGAAAGAAACTATTTGAGATTGTATTACAAAACTGCAATTATGTAAAGAGTACTTGCCAGAGAAACTGAAAAGATATGTGTTATACAGATATTGACAAGAAAGCTGAATTAATTCTGCCAGAGAAAATGCACAGTATATTCAGGTTTAGTGGATTTAAGAAGACATTACAGAGCAATATGCAGAAAGTCCCAAAAATGTGGACTGAGAAATTTACTGACATTTTCTTAATTCCAGAAAAATATATTAATGACACAATACACAAGGACAGGGATACAACACAAAAGTTACTGAAGGTAAGAAATCTTAATGGGATTCAAAATTTTAGTGAAAATCTTTTCAATTACCAAGGAAAACGTCCACAAGAGAAAGGAGAAAGGAAAATAGACGCTAGCACATACCCAAGAGCTTAACATTTTCCCCCCACCACAGCGACTGTTAGTTTCACAGGATGTAACACCGCCGCTGCAACCGACAATGTTAGCACCGGGGGACTTGACAAAGGACATGCCGTCCCACTCCCAGTCCTCATAGGGACTGCGACTGCTGCAACTGCTGCTGCTGACCTGGCTGTGCTGCTGGTGCTGGTGGTTGCTGGTGCTGCCCATGCTGCTGGCTGAGCTAAAGCGATTGCTGTGCAGCGTCAGCTGCAACTCGTCGCTGATGCCACTAGTGCGGCTACTGCTGTTGCCACTGTCACAGGGCGAGGAGGAGCCCTTGGTGGTGGACTTGTCATTACTGTTGGCACTGCTGCTACCACCACTGCTGCTGCCATGGGGAGTCTTAACAGGTGAACCACGGAAGGAGGCATTGCGGTAACTATTGAAGGCTTCCTCCATGAAGTTCTCATTGATGACATTCAGCAGCTCAGTAACCTGAGGTGGTTTTTTTTTAAAAAAATTATCTCTATGGTCAACAAATCACTTGAGACTAACAAACCCAATTTTTCACTTTCCAACCAAATATCGTCCAAGAATTTAGGTTGTGCAGTACAATACAGCACTGTGTCTGAAGGATTAACCTTTACTACAAGGGTACTACCAGAAGGTCACTTGAAAAGTAAGTCTTCAAATACAATACTGAGATGCAAAAGGTCATGTTTTATCTTGAGTTTCCTGATCAGTTTCAACCACTGCTGTATTTCTCTCCGGAGGAAATGCCTGTAGGAAGCAGTACAAGGGCTTTCCAACCTGCACCACTTTAAGAACCCAGCTCTAAATTCCCCAGGTTGGAAAGGGGGTTGTGCAGATTTGAATTGGTGGAGCCTAATTGACCCTGTGGGACTACTGTATCTATCAACTTTCAAAATTGACATTTCCTTGACTGCTACTTTCTTGCATTGAAGTTTCTTTCCCTTTTGTCCATACTTCTCTTTTTTGTGTGTTTTCCCCTCATTTATAACCATTCATCAAAACAAATGCTACAGAATGTGGCAAAGCCAGCTGTGTTTGAGATAGCATTTTCTTTACGCAAATGCTGCTATTCAAGGGACATGATTGATTTTCCTCTTAAAGACCTTTTCATTGAGTGCCGCTGTCTTGTTCCTCATGCTCTCCAAACTGACGTGTCTAGCAGCTGATAAGACATCACTCGCCAACCAGTCTATGCTGTTTTTCAGGTCCGAAATCTGACTTAGCGTCTTGGCAGCTTGAAGGGACAAATTTTTGGTACTTCTAAATGGAATTGAAAATGGAAAACACAGTTTTGCTGGCACGATAGGGCTTCGATAACGGCACAAATGTAAGTTCACAATATTCATGTTTAGCTTGAATTCTGTGAGATTTATCAAGCATCAACTAACATTGAGCAATGAAGGAAAGAACTGTAATACCCAATAAAAGCGTTTACATCAACCTGTAGTAGAGCAAAACACCATGAAACAAAAAGCAACAAATCAAACAGTTTATGATCAGTACTCCTTTCACTCCAAAATACCACTTGACAAGCAAATTTTCTTGTATGTCCTCACTGTCTTTGTAAATTTTGCTTCACCTTTGCATTCCAGCTGAAACAAGGTTCTCGTATAAAACTATAACTACACTGGTGTCACGGAGCTGTGTCCTTAATAAACTCCCTGTAGACAATTCTACACTCACGATCTTGACTGTTCCTCTGTGTAGTGTTGTAGCATTCTTTTCAATCCACCATGCCTGAATTTCAGAGAATGTGCTGCTGGGGCTCCAACAGTGATCATGTCATACAAGGACTCTGACAGAAAAACAAATTTATATTGAAGAGTCTATGACCAAGTTGGTTATCAAATGGTTAACTTGGAAATTGAACATCTAATCAGTTAAAACAATAAAGTGAATTGATCTGCTGTGGAAACTCTCATACAAGCTATGACTAAAATTTGGACAAGTTTGCCCTTCTGCTTTACATAATAAAAACCAGGGTAGCACCTCACCGGTTTACCTTGGTTCGTCAAGTCAACTGTGACTGATGCAATTTAATCAGTTTTACTATTCGTGAAAACACCTACAAGTAACAGTGTAATTTAGATGTTAAATATACACTACAGCAACTAACATTTTGGTCTGCAGGAAGCATATTCAAAACATTAAAAACTGGGCTTGTCGTACTTGTCTTAACCTGTCTCTTTTGTTACTTTTAATTTAGTTGTTTTTGTTGGGGGGATGGATTGACTAATGGTTAATACCCCTGCAGCCTGATTCCTCCACCCTCAGTCTTTGCAGATGTAGATTGATGGGCACAAACTCCAGCAGTTTATCAGACTTGGCTGTGCTCTTCTTGAACTGGGGGCCTGTCATATGAAAGTTTGTACAACAAACTGTATTAAGCATGACATGCCAATGATGTGCTACCTGCTAATGCTCTTCTACTATTAAAGCTGGGAATACTACAGTTTTAGGTCACCGTCAACCGATGTAAGAAGCCTGTATCATTCTATTTTGGCAGTAACCAGTGAGGTACTAGTCCTACATTGTTGGGTTCAAGTCCAAGTCAGTTAAATTTCCTTCACTCACCCAAAATTACTGTTTATGAGCAGAGACTGTGTATGACATTAGAAACTACTACCCAATGCAAACAAACAGTCGTGTAGTCTCCACACATTAATTTCTCTATTGTAAAAGTAAAGGAAGAGAAGTGGGCAAGTCATGAAGTTGATCTATAAGGAAAGAAACTTGAAGCAAATCACCGCCATCGCCCACGGAAACCCTTTGTTTCAAATATCCGCTCGGAATTAATTTGCCCCAGATGTCCCACCCTGGTCGTAACTCCCGTTCCCTCCCCAAAAAGGTGGTTCTCGTTACACGCTTTCTTCAACACTGCCGACCCGTAGGGCATTTCTGAACATTTCCAGATCCAGTTAAAGGGGGCAAAAGGTGGATCCATGGGGAGTGGGAGGGAGGGGGGAATTATTTGCTGTGCAGCCAGGAAAGGGGACTCAGGTCATGGTTCCAACAAACTGGAACATCCCCTGCAGCTGGAATGTTCCCAAACAAGCAGCCACATGATCTACAGGAACATCCACTTTTTGATTTTCCTACTATGCAACAATGCATTACCAGCCAAAATGCCTCGTTGATGTACATGTACCCCGCTCATGGCACTGATTTTTGCAAAGCACATAAATTTGCTAACCAGGCATTCTCTGTCATGTAGCTGAATGAACTAGGGGTCCGCGCATCCTCCCCCCTCCCCCGTGGGTGTCTGCTGAAGTCGACTAATGATGGATGACAATTGCAAAATCATTTCCCTGCCACATGAAATTTGGCATGACGAGAGCTGAGGAGGCAGCACCCATTCATTACTTCAGCTCTCTGGAGAGCTGGTCTCTGGATACCAACAATGAACCATTGCTTTGGGGAATGAGAGGTAAAACAATGAAACAGGCCACGGGAAAGGGAAGGTGATAATTTTCAAGCAGCTGGTTGAACCCTAAGAGAGAGACAGGCTTTATTGGACCATCTTACAGCCAGAGGGCAGAAGGATTCTGCTCTTAACATAGATCTTGGCTGTTTCAGGCCCTATCTTATTGAAACTTGGCATGCATGTACATGTACAGACAGTCATTATGAGTACTTCATCTCTGGAATTCCAGTTCAATTCAACTTTGGGTTTTGTTGTAGTGGTCATTTATAAATCATGGCCTTATGGCATGGCATAGCAGCCCAACAGCACCAAGTACATGTACATCAGTGGGTGAAAGTTACCATTTTGGGCCTATACGTCTTTGAAAAACAGGTGTTTTGTCCAATTCTCATACAGCTGGTGTCAAGTTTTTTTTAAGTTATCACTGAAAAAACTCCTGAAGGCTTTGCATGAACACACAAATTCACTATAACAATATCACAGAAAATATGTGTGAGGAATTCCCCAATAAAAGGTCAGATATATTTTTAAAAATGACACATTCATAAATATGCTTGCCTGTGAGCAATCCAAATTCAGAAAATGGTAGCTGTCTTAAAATGCTCTACAAATCTAAGTACCGGTATGTTTCCAACATCTTTCATTATAGAGTGGAATTTTTACCACAAAAAGGGGAAGAGGGATACACTGCCCACTAAGCAGATTCAATTGTGGATGGATCAAATATTGTGAAGCCAAAACATGATTGCATGTTTCCTTGGATCTAACAAGTCACCATTTTATCTAAAGCAAACAGATGGATAGTTTGACAAAATACAAATTAATTCCCTGGACATGCTGCGTGGGTAACTATCTATGATGCAGATGAGCACTGCAAGATACAACCCTACATATTTTCTACAGATAAAGGGCAAGACCATTGCAGCCTTGGTCTTTTGGGACAAAAACGCCAGTGATCTCTCCAAAGTCAGTCTGGGGATGAGATATCAACATCTTGACACTTCCTAGAATGCAACATCTGTGCAACCACAGAACTCATGTCAACCAATAGGGCTGCCAATATGTCACCACTAAACTTGGAGCAGAAAAACAGGGTAAAAATCTTTTTTAAAGTGCTTATAATGAAAAAAGGACAAGAAATGAAAATTTGCCCTTCTGCTAAAGTGACTGAAGCACCCTGATTCTGAAATGAAAAATGTGTGATTTCTTTCAAGGTATACCAGACTCCTGTATTTACAACAAATAAAGAAAATTTCAGATGTACAGTTCTGGCTGAGTTACAGAACCAGAAATAATTAAAAACACATCTTGAATCTAAATTCAATAAAACTATCTGAAGTGACATAGGAAAGGTCTCCCACTTTTCATAAAGGTCACCAACCAAAAAAACAAGTAATAGTACATATCATTTGCTCCCACCAAATCATTAAATAAAAAAGCATGCCCACTTTCAATGTACAAGTCTGAAAAAGTCTATGAAAACTGTCCCACTTGATGAAAACAAGATATCAAGCTGTCACTCTGCTCCCCTGCTCTCATTCCCTGGTATGAGATTCTGTCTGTGATAGTTAGATCCCTTTCTCTTTTTGTTAACCTTTCAAATAATGGCCCAAGTCATCCTTCCTTTCAAGCTAGCTAAAGCCTCCTTTGCCCCACTCTGGTCCAAGGGATCTGCTCCCCACCCTTTACTCTCCATGGGGAGGAATATGAGGTTCCAAATATGATAGAGAGGGAAAGAGGAGGGGGGCATACCAGTCCTTGTTCCTATTTTTAGATTTGATGGCAGACAAGGGTTAACACAAGAGACCAATAAATGAGAATTTGGCCTTTCCATGTTGCCCTCTTGGTGGCGCACCGAATAGTGAATTGCCCATATTGGACTACCTATGGGGTGACACAGAGAAATTCTGTGTGGTGCTGGCTTCACTGCTTGTGGACACGACACAGAGTCAGTGCAAACTTTATCTTGGTCCAAACCTGACACAACTGACGGTACTGAGAATGCATGTTTATCTGTGATGAAGTGGGTTTTAAATTGTTCAATCACAAGGGGCACATTTTGGGCCCTCTCGGCCAATAACAGACCTCACCTTCTTCCAGAGGAACTACTTGCAACCCCGCCATTGCTTGTTCCTGAACAATCTCGTTAAAAAGTGCTCTATCAACATGTTCAACCCATCAATAAATCTCATTCAAGAAATGCCAAGGTTGAATTTGCGGGGATGGATGTCATTACCACAAGTGTTATCTTAACTTTCTAAATGCAATGATCTGCAGTCTGTATGCCCCTGCTGGTTTCTGAACAATCTTGTTTAAAAGTGCTCCATCAACCTGTTCAACCTATCAATAAATCTCCTTGTGCTAGAAATGCCAAGGTTGAGTTTGAGGGCCAAAATCTAATCTGGGGTTAGGGCAGGGGCTTTGTTGCAATACTGCAATCTTAACTTTTCAAATGCAAAGATCTATAATCCCTTGGGCCATCTGAAATCAATTTATTCTCTTTAAATTACATATATATTTTGATCCCCCAAATGTGATCAACAAAGGCTTCCAAGAACTGTGCCCCCCAAAAATCATCTGTCGGAGGTATATTCCAAGACTACTTAGAAAGCCAAGTTAGAACTGTGGATCCAGACTGTATGCCAATACATTATCACTAAATTTCCAATGTAAACAGTAGCCCCACCCGTCTGAAGAAAGTATTCCTCTTGGCATGACTGACCTTTCGTCTGTTTACTGAGAAATTCCAAGGATTCGTTATATCTAGCAATCATGGTGACATGCTCCGTCATAACGGCTGATCGGACTCTTTCCCATTCATGAGAGAGCTGCAAATACAAAGGTATGATAAAGGAAGAAAAATGTCTGTGTGAAGGCACCTGTGTGAAGGCAAAATGTTACTAACTTTGGTTAGTTTTTAATAGATGTGTAAGTAATCTCAGCTCTCCCTCTAGAACTACACGTAAACGTAGCATACCAGTGAATGTGGACATTATGAGGGAGAGAACACTCACAAGTACTATAGATTTCTGTTGTTGCAAGATTTGTTTCAGGGCCATCAATTCAGTACCAATTCTGACCACTTAATTTAGTTCGATTTATTCCTGTGTACAGAAATCTGACAAATTGAAACTTGCTACACACATTATAAATATCGGAACACGGTCTGGAATAGCAAAAACTGGTTACCAGTACAAATGTTGTGGTATGCCCCTTGGCTTTGAATGGCTCCCTGCTGGCCTTCTTTTATTACAGAAACTTGCCAAGCAATAGTTTCCACAATGCAGCGCCAAGAAATTGGGCCCAGATCATAAACAATTTGCACCGGCTTGACAAAGAAATAAACAATAATCTTACACATGAACCAAAAGTATTACTCACTTCCTCAAACATATTTAGTTCCTCCAGTTTCCGTTTCTCTTCTTGCAAATAAATTTTTCTGCAAAACAAACATTGCATAAAATTAAAGTACCTGTGCACTAGGTAACATCCTGCATACATTCAGTGATGTGCATACAATATACATGGACGCATATGTAAACAGTACTACTCACATAAATCATGACAGTCACTGACAATCTGTGTAATTATTTCGGGAGTTTTTGTCAATTAAGGAAAATATTGACAGAAAACAAACTACATGTGACCTGGGGGGATTCTGCCCCACTCCAACTTGGCTGTGTCTTGTTCAACTTTTTGAAACTTGGCATGCATGTAAAGACACTCCTTCTAAATACAAAGGTGACATTTAAACTCAATCGGACATATAGTATTGTAGTTATGTTCATTTAAAGTTCAAAGCTACATGTGTACCAGCCCATGTGATTTGAGCATCACAGTGGAAAAGTATACATTTTGGCAGACCCGTCTTGGAAAAAAATACACACGACCCACGAACGTCATGTCTGATTTTCACAAAATATGTGTCAAAATGACCAAAAAGAATTACTCTAAAAACTCCTAAAGGCTCAACTACTCAAAAAATGCACTGCAGCGATATCAGGAAAAACAAGTTAGGGTTTAGGCCATATTTTTTGGTCATTTTATTTTAGGTTGCAATGCCACAGCCATGAACATTTAGACTCACCCAAACTTTTATAATCTTCTGCAGTTTCTGCATCAGTGTGCTTTATATCAAATGACATCAGTGTAGAGGCAGTTTTTCCAATTTACAAGGAACAGTGTAGATTTATGAGGTAAAAACATCAGGATAGTGAATGACATGATTAACATGTGCACTACAATTTGTGTGCATGCAGTCATAAAATGGGCTCAATGCATTGACTGAAGGGCGGTTGGAGCTGTGCCACTTGATTACACAGTGCATGCATGCAAAGAGCAGACAGGGGTAAAACTCACATAATCTGTTGGGGGATGTAAAAGTTGAGGCGGCTCTCCATCATGGTCTCCTGCACCTGCACCATGGAGGTGCCGTCGCTGTTGGGAAAACGATAGGTCTTATTGCAGGGGTTGCAGCACAGGCTCTTCAAGTAGGCGCTGCGAGCCAGGGAGTGAGCCCGATTCCTCATCATGCCCCCATTAGGGTAGCGGGATGTCGCAGAGGCACTGTAGCCTGACTTTGGGGCATGGGATGGGTACACCTGTTGGATATATTCATAGAGATTTTGAAAAGCCAATAATAGTCACAGCCTGGTTTGTAGTTTTAAAATGTCAAGACTTTCTCTCTGAGCCAGACCTGATAAGAAGTCCTGTTGTCAAGATTAAATGTATTTCTGTCCAAATTCACAGGACCTTGAGCAAGATTTTTGAATAGTTCCTGAAACAAAAAGGGTGACAGTGGGGCAAGAGAAACTTTGAGACTTCTTAAAGAATCACCCATACAGGCATATACATTACAAACTAAAGAAAGGATCTGAGTTTAAGAAGATAATAAGCATGACATTTACGTCTGAACTGCTCTTGAACAAGAAGCCAATTCAGTATTCAAAATGCCCACATGTGCAATGAAGAGCATCATATCGCATTTAGGCCAATCAATACATGCACACAAGATACTTGATACTGAAATCAATCACACATGAACAGGTGGAAGGTTTCTGAAGCCTTATCTTTGCCTAAAGGTGTGGGGCGGGTCACGTTGGCATAGTGATTTTTTCCTTGCCTTCCAACTCTGTGGTCCAGGTTAGAGTCCTGGCCCAGTCCACGTGTGGATTGGGTTTTCAGACCCTACCTGATTCCATGGGTTTTACCCAGAATATTCCTTTGGGGTTTTCCTCCCACCTCTAAAACTGTAACTGCTTCTCATTGTCTCCTCTCTACAGGTTTCTTCAGGATTGCGAGCTTTAGTGCCTAGCTTGCTTTTGAGGAATCCTTGGTGTCATTAACAGAAATAATTCTTAATAATAATAAAAATAAAAATCTCAGCTCTGAATCAAAGGTCGGCAGTTATTTTTGTCAAGACAGGTCACAGGACACACTCAGTCTAACACCTGGGCAGATTGCAAAGGCCAGTCACTGAAAGCAGGCAAAGCCCAATTGTAAGTGACAACCCAGCAACTCCCCCAGCAGGAAATGCCCTGGCTAATTACATATAATACCTTTGGCATGATGCCAGAGTGGAAAGAAGCAGGTTGAAGAGCTTACGTGATTGGAAGGGTTGTCTCTCTTGATGACGGCTTGGGGCTTATCTTCTGCATCATCTAGCTGAAATAAACGAAGAGAACAGAATTAGGAAATAGAGGCATTTGATGGGAGTAAAGCTTAGGTCTTCTGGACAGTCTTACACTGAATGTTTATGCTTACGCCATTATTTGGCTATTTATTTGGCAGCCACTTTCATTGCCATTTTACCAGCTATGGCCATTCTTGAATGAGGTCCTCTTGGAGGCCACTTGGTAGCCAAACTGATGAGAGCTATTTTGTCAAATATGTATGGGCCCTATGCATGACCAACAAAGGGCACAATATTCCAAGAGATGGATGCTCCTTTGGTGGAACTGCACCTCCCTAGTTCATGTACGACTTTGAAATGCATGCACTGCATACGCGCTGTTACAAACAAAATGAACACGACCCAACAGCATGGCTCTTTTCAAACAATGAGGGGGTGCTTCTGCTCAAGGCTGATACACCACCTTGGGGCCACTGTTACAAACATGAAAGTAGCATTTTAGTTCCTATCTCATGGGTCATTTTGACAGCCATCTTCAGTTTCTACAATGTGCGTCATCATCTATCACAAATGGAATTCACAAAGAAGCAATTCAGCAGCTTCAAATTTTATAAGTGACAAAAACACTTGGAATAAAATAAAATAAAAAGTGCTTGGATACTCCTTAAAAGCAAACTGGAATACGAGGCCCAAAAATACAAGGTTTCAAAAACACTCCGCTGCTGACAAACATAAAATGCAATTGCCAGCACTAAGTTGCCATGGTTACAAACAAAATGTTCATTTGCATCCAAAAAAAAATCACAGCACAGTGAAACAGGCATTACTCCAGCATCACTATTTCAAAATCTCAAAGTAGTACCAGTAGTTCTGCTGTTTATTTAAAGAATGAAAGAGATGTTTTCCCTACAAACTACATCATTAAGGAGAAACAATAATTGGTACCGTAATTGTACAACATAAGGCATGAACTGATAAACGCATATTGGCACATATCTAACCAGCCCAAAACAAGCCCTCTAGCTCCTCCAATTTTTTGGTGAAGTGGTTTTTAAATCACTTGCTCACTGTTCAATGGTCCTTTCAGCAAAACTGTAATTTTTGAAAATACCCTTAGGGCCTTACTCTGAGCATCCGAGAAATATTGAATTCAAACAGACATCTGTTTTTTAATTAAACTATTTTCTGGAGCCAATATATTTAAATTTCAACAAATTTTCTTGCCCAATTTTATGTTTAAACCAATATTTTCGTAAAAGACAACTTTTCAATGAGAACCTTTTAGCACTGACACAATGAAATATGCACTAATCCCATACAAGAGGCCTAATGCCCCATCTTGAAGGTGTGACCATAGTGGTCCCAAAAGCACAAATTCTCCTCAAAAGGAAAGAAAATAGAGGGCTTAGATTCACCTCCTGATACTGTATGATTAATTCCTGAAGCGCCAGCGGCATCATTAAAGAGGATTTCAAGGGAGCCAGTACCAAAACTGTATAATTAGTGACGCACACATTATTTTTATGAATCTAAAATCCACAGGATAAACCCGGGATTATTAATTTTCAAAGCCTGATGACTAACGAAATCTGTCAATTAAGGAACTCCCCAATGGCATATTAACAACTCCTTTTTTCAGTGCAAGCAGTCACCAAGTTGCCAAAAATAAACAATGCAGTAAATTCCTGAACTAGAAACCAACTCAACACAAATAGAATGTTTTCCTGTTTGTTTTGGCAATTGTCCAATTGCAGAGTTCACATCAATCTTGAATATCTAAACAGATGCTAAACTGGTTAGAACTGATGACTATCTAGAATGTAATGAAAATTATCTGACCATACACGTATGTATATCTTAATCAAAAACTAACACGGATTTCCTGCTAATCACAGAAAGCAGACCATCAATGACCAAACACCACGAAATATCTGGTTTGAATAAACTCAGCTACTGACAATGGGCATACATTACTGGGTGTGCACTTTACTTTTACTGAAACTCTCATAGAAGTCAGATATCCCAAAGAACCATGACTTCTCTTCAAAATCTTCTGAAACCATTTTTATCAAGGAAAGCCCTACAAACTGCCCTGTTCAACATCAGTATAAGAAAATACCATTAAAACAACCTCTCTGGCAATTATACTCAAAGCTAAGTGTCATTTCATGTAAAAGTCTTTCATTTGTGATTAGATCTGTTCAATAAAAAGTGGTCCTTCCTTTTTAGAAGAGCCATCATATTTTGTGAAGGTTTCAGGTATTAAAACCAAAGCACATATGGATCCGGTGCCCGCCATTTTTGGTACAGTGCCAAGTATCTCAATATCTATCACAGCTGTGGAATTTACGGAATTTCCTGCTAAAATAGTTCATATAAAAACTGCCAAGTGCCAAAAGGTATGCCAAAAACATGTTATCACTGACAGCAATGGGTTTACTCTAGTACTGAATATGAGAAAAAGGTCTGAGACTTACAGCAATCTCCTTGAAGACTAAAATAACAGGGCTGATCCCAACAGTAAACTGTTTTGGTGACTACTGTAATCCACTTTACTCAAGTGCCAAATTATTTTACTGAGTGACATGTCAGACTGTTTTTCAAACAACGAAACCTAATATGGTGAAAAATAAAAAGGTAAATGTTGACTAAACACTGGAGGAACCGGAATTTGCCTTGTCTAACTTCTCTTGAATGACTTGTTACAAAACAAACAGAAAGTTTGTCGAACTACATTTCCAAAATTTCTAGCCCGAATGTTGTAAAGCAGAAGACGCTGAAATTGCTGTAAATGTTTTAAAGGCTTGGTTACACTGGAATTTATTTTTAGAAAATCAAGTCATGTGTTGCATTTGTTGATTCTTCATAAGTTCTCTTATATTGTATTCATGCACAATGCTTCCAATTTGACAAGCTTACAATACAAAAGGAGATACCAACTCTTTTAAAAACTAAAAAGTGAAGATTAAGAATGTAGGGCTATTTACCAACTCACGGTCATAATTTTAGCCAGTGAGAATGAGTGGTTAGGTGATGGGTGCATGTACATACATGTCTAGGCATCAGGTTTACATGTAGAATGATTCCACCAATGTCTGAGGACATGACTTACTTCCCACAGCAGAACAGTGATCTTGCCTCCTATGGGCGTACCATCAGCACCGATGATGTCACGGACCAGCTTGTTATCGGGGGAGGTCACAATGTCACGGAATGAGCAGATGACCTGGCCAATGGGTGACACCTGAATGACCATGAATGAATGGACTTTATTCCAAAAAATTGAAATGCTATTCTGATTAACTAAATGTACTGATTATGATTGACAAATAATTGAGGAAAACATAAATGAGTTATGAACAACAATAACATGAATGTGCAATTCACAGTGTTCAAGGTGAACTAACTTATTTATAAATACTTCCAACAGTCTCCCTAGGCAATAACATTCAATTTGACAGTGTATTAATATTTGATAACGCCCACTGAAAAGTGATAATGCCCGCTGCATAAATCACACGCTGACACAAGGATACGAGACAGTTTAATCGGGCCTGATTAGTCAGGAGTGTGTGAGCACGCAATGCGTCACACACGCACCAAGTTCATTGAAGGGGACAACTTGCAACTTCTATTGGACAACTTGCACAAGGAATATACCATAAAATGGACAGGGGTGTTCAGGAAAAGGAAAGTAAAATTCTAGAACAAAATTGTTGGAAATCCATCAAACAAGGACTTCTTCTGACTCTCTGAATAAAAATGGTATTTATGAATTGAAATAAATACACATGTGTGCTGGGCTGGACTTAAATGTAAGTTTAAGACCCGCCAAGCACCTATTTATTCCCTTTTTCAATACTCTTGCAAACATGCTTGAGGGCGAAATGTGGTCTATTGGAGTGAGTGACAGGAGAACATTTTGATGGCTGACCAAGGGATGTAATGAATGCTGATTGAATGAGAAGAAAACCTTGGCATATCAGTTACCAATATTTACCTATTCTCCTGTTACAAAATGTAGCAAATTCACACTACAACTGTTGAAATTTGTAGTGCGACATTAACCACTTCCTGCCAGGTGGATTTTTCATTTTACACCCACAAAATTACTGTCTGGTGGCTACTCTAGTCTGACAGGCAACCTCCACTGATACCCAAGTATTGCAGCCGGGCCTGCAGCCCAGTAAAGAGAACTCACATTGTGCATGTTGCGTAATTTCCTTTGTTCCAGAAACTGGCCCAGTGCGTTGCTGAATGGCAGTGGAGTCTTTTCAAATTCGGCCAGATTAGCATGCAGTGGTACTGTATCACTTATTGCTGGAGCACTTTTGTCTCCGCTGATAATCCATGGGCGTTGAATGCCGCCAATAGTAGTATACTGTTTCAAAACTAATGCCGACTGAAAAATGTTGGCAATTCCCAGCAGAAGGTCTTTTTTCCGAGTACAGTCTTTTGTTACAAGGCTTAACTCCTCTGTCCGATTTCTGGCAGCCTGGCTATGAGTACAAACCCAAGGTACCCGGTACTGGGAACCCCAGAAGCAAGGGGTTAAGCACAAACTTAGTCCCATCCCTCACCCCTGCCACTGCCAGCAACCAACTAGATACCTTTTCATGTTACATAACTACATTTAGTTAGATATGAACATGGAAATATAAAAAAGGGCATTTTGTCATTTGAAATTTACTGCATAGTAGCTTACGTGGCCACGTAGTTTATGTGTGGGGTCTAGTTTCAACTGATTTTCAACAAGCTAGGTTTTGGCTTTTTGTGTCTAAAAAATGTACTTTTCCCTTAAATAGCTGTTTCTAAGGTACTACAAAGAACTGTAAAATCTAAATACAAAATGAAACATCGCAAAAAATGCATGTAGAGTTTTCTTTCTTAGATAACAAAATGAGATGACAGACATGGTGTGACAAATAACAGTTTTTTGTTTGGAACATTTAGATCACAGTTAAGCCATGTAAAATACAGTTCTCTTTCTACATGAGATGTATTTGTTTTAATTGTAAGCACAACAACCAATAATCAAATACTGAGCTTGTTGACAAAATTTGACATGGTTTGATTGAATGTCTTGAAATGTCATGAAGCATGAGAAAATACATGAATAATTCTCAAATTATGCAGATCTAATGTAAAGTGATCCCTTTGCAATGTGAGCGAACAGCACACTGCAAACATACAGAGGATATCAAGATTCAAGCAACTAATGCACACGAAAACAGCTATTCACTTGACATCGTTCTGAGTTGTCCTACGCTACTATCAATACATGCACGTAACATGCAGGTTTCAGACTAGTACATAGCTACATGTATGCTGAGCTAAATTGAGATTACAAGTTTGGAAAGCGAAAGTCTATCCCTGTTGGAGTTAGACTTTCTTTGTAGATGAGATATGGGGTGATGAGCGATCTGCATAAAATGATGCGATGAACTGTGACATGTTTTCAATGTCATGGAAAATTGGATAGATTGGATGAGAACACTCACGACTAAAACTTTGACTGTGGGTAAATTTACCTTGAATATTCTTCTTTCCTGTTTAAACACAATCACACAAATGTAAATGACTTCATATATTGAAATTATTTTATTATTAGATCTAATATTTGAGGTTGTAAAATAGTGTTGTTAACGGCAAAAATTTTTCCCAATGAAACAAAAACTGTACAAATATAACAGCATTGGAACACAGAGAGGACAAATATTTTCCAAAAACTGAAAAAACTGTATGTTCACAAAAAATAACTCTTCAAAACTGTAACGGCTACAACAATTCCTGATGTTATTTACCGTATGCATGTTCCTGTCCTGGACTTCATACACGTTGGCCCGTAACCGAGTGATAACAGATATGTTCCTGGTGGTCTCAAAGGAGATGGTGGTCAGAAAGAAAGGGCTGCAGCTCCGACTGATGATCTCTGTCTGGCCACTCTTGGACCACCGAGTGTCTGGTGGTGTGACGCAGCTGACCGACACAAAGGTGCTGGGTGCTTCACCAAAGCTGTTCTTGGGCAAGTCCGTGCAGGCTGAAGGATTGGGTTGGGGGGGGAAAGCATAACAATTATGTTATTTGTACATTAGAAAACACAAACCAGAGAATGCTCCCTAGATAAATTCTATAGAGAGCAGCACTGTTATGAAGAAAGCCAAAGTTGGTAACCTTGTGTCTTGGCCACCATGTTATGATTATCATAAGATGTATGCATTTTCCTGATTTATATTTCACATTTACCGGCGACATGAATTTGGCTTACTTTTAATTTTATCTGAAAACATTTGATTTCAGGAACTACAAAGTACAGCCCTAAGTCGACTGTAAGTCACAGAGTTTTGATCCCCTTGAAAAGAAGGCCTCTGTGCAGTATCTTGAGTGAAGAGGACTTTGACGTCAAGTCTACTCTAAGGGACAGTCACAAGATGACAAATAGCAGCTTCCCTTCATTTCATAATTTGATTTGATTTTATGATCTGATTTCCTTCATGAGAAACCTCATCACTTTAGGATCTGTTCATCATGCCCCTCTCCCCTTTCCCTTTAAAATATCTTTGTAGTATTTGTTATTTCCTGTGTTTGTTTTGGCTTTAGGTTTGTAACTGGAAAAATTTTTTACGGTTCATGTACTCACATACAGACATCTCCAAGATGGGCTCAGACACAGAGTCGCCGGGGTCTGTTTGACCCATGACCCCATGTCTTTCCTCATCGATGGGATCCTGACCCGTCCTGGCCATCAGCTGCAGGCGCAGGCTCTGTAGCTGGGAGCGAAGGTTCTCGTAGCTGGCCGACTGCAAGAGCGCCACCCACTCGTCACGCAGCTCAGCCGAGTGTGCGGCAAAGAACTGGTTGTGTTCTTCTCCTATGTACTCTGCATGAGAAGAGAGAGTGAAAATTCAATGCTATTTGTACAATGCTATTTGTACACTGACACCAGCCTTCTAAGATTTAAGCTACTAACAGAGCTGTTGTCATAGTCATACAATGGTAACACGTGTATTCATTAACTACCTTCTCTGCCAATGCTACATGGAGGTTCTTGCACTTAACACAATGCATGGGCGCCAAGCCTTAAGGCCGTGTCCTAATGGGACTTTCCTAGGTATGGTTATATCTACTGTGAGTACATCAGCTCTGTGTATTCAGCATGGGTGCAGACCAACACCTAGCTGTAGACAGCTGATTCATAACCAGTCTCTGAAAGAAGGCATGAGTATGATGTCACTGCAGTAATGGTATCTCCTAGATTGGTCTTTATCATGAAGTTGTGGCTCAGTGGTCGAACTCATTTCGCTCCATTCAAACTACTCTTCAAGCACGATTGGAGAGTTCCCTCCACTGTCACTGCATCAAAAACAGCCCCATAAAATATACCCGTGCCATGGCTTTTATGGAAAGTGAGTCAAAATTTGAAGTTGACCAGACAAAAAGTTACCTTGCACACTTCTCCCTGCTAAAACAAAGAGAAGTGATGGCAGAAACCATAGAAGATGACCTCAAATGTTCACTGAAATGTCCATGTACCAGTATATCACAATCAGTCCTTCAGGAAACCTTAGACTGAATGGCACTGAAATTCCCACCCCCCCCGGCCAAGTCGTGCTCCTTTCCTGGTTTACTCTGACATTTATATGAGCAATGAAACTTGCCTTGCATGGCTGACCACTTGTGCAAAATGAAATTTTCCTGAAGTGACAGATAAACACTTGCACAAAAGGCATTCATGAACACAGATAAAAATACATAATTGGAAGAAACTTTCTGAATAATTTGTTCTGTTAATACTGTTTAGTAGGGAAACTTGTTCTTTCTGCTTAACAATTGTTCACTCTGCTTTCAAAGAAGGAAAAAACATTATTGTAAAGTTGAAGTTCAAAAATAGACCTCAAAAGCTAAAAATGCTGAAATCGTAATGATTGTGTTGTATTGTTGTAATTTCAAAGGTCATCTAATACTATAAACTGTGGGGTACAGGCATTCCCTTTAGCATGAATAATTATGTACACACAGTGTGTGTACACTAAATGATTCCTGGTTTCCTAGGACAACATGTGTTGAAACAAACATTTTGTCCCTACAAGTACAATGTAGGTCTCAACTTTCCTAACCAAAATAAAAACTGTTTCCACAATGAAGGTCAATCCACACATTTACAATTACGCCTACCTAGAGTGGGTATTCTGTAGTTAAGAAAACTCGGTTAAAACACTCATTTTTCTTGCCCTTTGAACACTCTTTTAAGCTGACTTTGTTTTTAATGGTATCCTCCATTGTTCCTCTTCCTGTGGCTACAAACAACCCTAACCCAAAATGCATCTACAGCTGTTTTCCTAGAAAGGGGGATAACCTTGTGTGGACCTGGCTTGGTCCACACAAGGCTTACACAACCTGCATTACACAGACCTTTTTTGTTCTCAGGTCCACACTATGTAAGGTTGGTACATGGAGTACAAGAGGTACAAGCTTCAGTAAACAGCATTTCCATGGCAAGGTGATAATTTTAGGAGGTGAAAAGCAACAGAAGGTAAAAGTAGGACTGGGTAAGACCTGTCAACACTGCCAATTTGAAGTCAAGACCGTCCCCTTGGAGTTCCCCGTTTGGGACTCAGAGCACGCCCACTCCTGGAGCTGTTTAAAATAATGGTTCTCAGGACTTAATTGCAACAGACACAGCGGGATGGGGCCACAGGAAAGGTTCCATCCCTTACCTCTGAACTGGGCCGGGGTAACCTGGATTCTAGGCTCTAGAAACACAGACCATAGAATATCTGAACAACCTGGCTACAGAATATGGTTTGTTGTTTGAGGAAATGAACAAATCACAACACAGAGATAATGTTTAATCAAGCATATTGTTGTGGTTGTTTACCACACATGTACATGCATGTATGCAATAACCTACTGGAGATTAAAACAATGAGTCAGTTCGATATCCCATTCATAAGTGACTTTGTCACAAAGGCGAACGCGCCACGATTAGCAGGCTCTCATTGGACAATCGTTGAAGTTGCACGTTAACTTCTGGTTCCATGATTCCATGTAAACGGAGATCAATGCAGGTAACCCTATGCGTGGTGCACGTGTGCAGTGGGCATGGTTTAAACTGAAGTGACGTCACATTTACGAACCGGATTTCAAATATCAAAGTCTTTTGGAACAAAGCGTGCATATTAGTCGGAATATGGTTGCGCTGATAAGACAGACTATGACATGTGTGCGTAGCTGTTCACGAATAGCTTCATAGTCGACATGCTTAATGGGATATTGAACTGGCTCATTATCACCCAATGTAACGCATTGTGACCACACATGTTCATGTGCAACATGTGACCACACATGCCTAATCCATGTTGTGCAGACAGGGTGCATAAATGGGCAATTTGGAATGATGACTACATTGCATGAACGATTCATGGTTTTGACCATCTGGTCAACCACTTGGAACCAGACCTAGGGCGTGGATGCACCATTGGTTATCAATTTTCAGTGTAGAGGGAACCATTCACATGAAAGTAAACTGTATGAACTGTCACTGACCATGAACGCAGCAAGAGTTGCAGCTACCGTAACAGTGAGATAGGAATTTTACAAAAAGTCCAACTGGGGCCATTAGGGTGTGGTTGCACTGCATACAAGCATTGTCAAAAAGCAATCAAACTTTAGTTTGCACCTGAACTTGCCCAAGTATCAGCATTTTAGATCCAGCATGTGTCCAATGTACCTGTACAGGTGTACATGTAATTCCCAGGGTACTTTCATTTGAAACTTCCCCAATCCTTTGAAGTCCATCACTGTACAGGAAACCTTTGTAATTAGACCTTCCTGAAGCATCAAGTCCCACTTAAAAGCTACAATGACTAGGTTTTTCGAACTTTTCCCAATCCTTCAAAATTTTCTCACAGAGAATTTTGATCTAGAAAAGTAAAGGTTAGGTTTTGCCAGTCCTGCAACATACCAGAATTGTCAAACTTGATGACCTCATTCATGTGGAAAGCCACAAATGAAGTGAAAAAAGAAACCAGGAAAAATCACTCTGACAAAACCTCAAAAATGCTTACGTGTATACTGAAGAACAATGCAGTATGGAGCATGTCAATTTTTCACATCCATGAAAATCTGGAGAAGTCACAATGTTTCCCACATTCATATGTGACAAGTATTTTAATCCAAGCGCTGATACCGTTATGTTCACATATCGCAAACAATACTGCAAAGAGAACTGAAGTATGAACATGACTGATCATATACTGTACATATTCATAAGGCTGCACGTCTGTAAATGGTACCTTGTGAATGTGTATTCTATTGTGAATTGGAATTGAAAGTGAGATTGGTAATGGCAATCACACCATCTTATCTGCGTTCCTAAGAAAGGTATGCAACATTATCAAGTAGCCAGGTTAAAGGGGCTCTGTCGCTAACCAACTGGAATAACTAGTATTCAACTTTCTGTTGAAAGTGCCCCTGGAAAGACATTATGTGCGCAACAAATATAGGATAAGATTAATCACAGAATTGCGACAGTGAATGTACATGTGCGTCAGTGTAGGGGCAAAAAACCCTTTACTGAAATTAACATCTTCCTGGCGCAAAGTACATGTACATTTTGAAATAGTTTGCGGTAGCTGCTGCTACATCTACGGCCGACCCAAGCAAGCTCAGTGGTTGAGTGGTTCAGACGTCTGCATCAGTAAGCAGGAGGTTGTGAGTTCGAGTCTCACCTGAGTAAGCTTGTTTGGAATTTTTTTTGTAAGCTCTTGGACAAGTGTTATGAATATACAGTGTTATGAATATACAGTGTTATGAATATACAGTGTTATGAATATACAGTGTTATGAATATACAGTGTTATGAATATACATCAGAGTAAGGGCAAAAAAACGTTATTGAAATTAATCACAAAGCAAATGAAGCAATTTTTTGTGGCTGTGCTGGCTTTGAGTCTCAAATTTGTTACAAGAGACTGAACTACATGTAAATCATTCAAAATCAAGCAAAATTGCTCATATGACATAAATGTACATGTATCCTCCAATTTATTCCATTAGTTTCTGGCAAATTACTTTAAAAGTCAGTTTAAATTAAATTTTTAGAATCTAGCTCACAGTTTTATGGGTGTTGATGAGGTGGACGTAACATTTGACGTTGTGGATGTCGCTCTTGTTCACAAATGATTACAAAATTGAAGACTACATTTCAGTAATGTCAATTTTCCACCACAAAACGTAAGGTGTACCACTTAAAACATTTCATGATGCATGCCCACAGACAGGTTTGTCAGATGAACTTGTTTTTACGTTGAAGATAACCATCTGTGGTTGCTACATGTAACAAATTAAGGCCAGGACAACTGGTTGCTCATTTGTTTCCTTCTTTATTCCCAGTCTGTTTTTTTAAATCACAAGGAAAGCAGAGAAAAGTTGCTGTGGTGAACTGGGCAAAAACTTTACATCAATCAACAGAAACCATCAGAAAACAGGTGTGTTAAAGGTAATGATCACTGTAATCATGATAAATACAAGTGAAAGTGGTAATCTGCAATTGTCCTTTCACTGCCCCAAAAAACAAAACCAAGTATTATTTTAGAAATGTGAAAGTTAACACTGACATCCCATGCAGCTGGTGCAAGGATGCAGCAGGACAGCATATTTGTTTGTTTTTTCATCAAGTGTGAGAGTGACAACTGAACGGCGCCGCATCTGTGACATCACAAGTTGTACTTTGCTTTCACATTCACAGGAACCAACCAAGGCTCTACCCTCCATGCCATCTGTTGGCAAAAGGTTAGCCCCCCAAAAACTGGAAGTACGGTAGATTTAATGGAAACCCCCGAGATTCAAAGAGACAAATCATTACTGAAAACTTTCTATT